ACTTTTTTGCCGATATAATTGCAGATGATCATGAAAATCTTAAGGCAAGACGTGACAAATAAAAGGAGTGGAACTATTCCATCAATCAATGATAATGTCAATTCATCGACGGCCTTCCTTAACATCACTTTCGCTAAATTTGGTTCTTTGTTAACGTCAACAGGCAACATCACCATCTATAAAGCCTCCGATAACAGCATTAGACAAAGAGTTTCAGCAAATATGCATAATTTCTGTAAAATCAGTGTTTATGATGATGCAGATACTATTAGTATAAAAGTCATTAATAGCACGTTCAACGAATATGGCGAACGATATTTTGTGACTATGGATAATAATTTTGTCAAACGATATTTAGATGATGAACCTTTAAGAGGAATTCATGATGGTATTTGGATTATTGAAACACGTAATTTTTTTAAACTTATCTTTTAAATTTGTTTTGGAAATTACGTATCATCCACTTTATTTATTTTATTTTTTTTGGCCTTTAGGTGACCTAGATAATCGGAAGGTATACTCAGATAGTACGTACGCATTACGTTTATGCTCATTTAAAACATTTCACATAATTCTTATTTTACTTCCTTACAGATAAAGCTGTTATGGGCTCAGTACGTCTTACTACAGAAGCTTCCAAAAACATCTTAAACTTCTCTAAACATAATCAATCATATCAATCAGCATACTTTGATAAATTATTGAATGAACTTGCTAATAAAGTGCCAATAAATCGTTCTTGTTTAAGATCAGATAATAGATTCCATAATGTATTTTATGATCAAATCGTTATTTTAATTCGTATATATATAGGAAATAATGAAATTAAAAGGATTGCTTCGGAGGTATGTTCAGATCTAAACACTATGATAATTTACAAGAATGTCACTACCTTCTCTCTCGGTGTTACAAATGGACTAGACCAAGATTACAGCTTTCAACCAAGATGTGAGTTGTCTCATTTAAAAATGCTTCAGAATTGAATTTTATGTATTTTCATATTTGTAGGGAATGTATGGAATGACTTCAAAGTACAAATGACGATACTCATTTGAATTCTGATTTTTATAATACTATGCTTATTATCTCATATACTAAGCTATAAGGTAAATTTATTTTATCAATGTTCTTTTAGAAACATTTATCACGAATATTTATAAAATTTTTATTTAAAAAGTTAAAATCAAAAAAATTCAAGTCACTAAATTCTGCAATCTTACGGCTTGGATTAATCATCACTAATTTTATTCTTTCAGTTCTCTTTGTGGGCTATAATTCTAAAAATGTGCCGGAGCTTTACTGGCCAAGGTATTTTTGCTAAATAAGTTATTTCATTATTATTAAATTAATATTAAATTAATGTCAATCTTTATCTTTTGATCTTGCAAAAACACTATTTTGAAGTGTGGCCGTCCTGAGTGTTCCATTATGTATAAATTTTTATATAGGAATTTATACTATTTATAAAGGAATTAAGAATCCCTTTATTAGTGAAGATTTTAAAAAATGGGTTATGAATCATCGAGGATTAGTAATTATACTAATTATTTTGATAGCAACCGATTATGAATATTTGACGATTTTGAGAGACTTACTTATGTTTACTAAGTTAAACAATTACAAGCTAATTAATATATTTAATGTACTTGAAAATGTTTTGGATGTTGTAATTATATGGGGTGCATTTTTTGATGTTTTTTTTAGGAATATTCCGCAGATAATTATTCAAGTGAGTAAAATTTTCATTATATTTATCGTTATGAAATTATCCCTACATCACGAGTAATTTTCGATTAAAGAAATCCGTTTGAATTAAGGCATTAGTGATATAATGCCTATTCATATATTTGTGAATATTTCAACTAGAATATTAACTCAATTTCTGTTTAAATAGGTCTATTATTACAATTATGATTTCCTTTTTGAATATGATATAGTTCCACTCCTTTTATTTGTCACGTCTTGCCTTAAGATTTTCATGATCATCTGCAATTATATCGGCAAAAAAGT